GTAGTAGTAGTAGTAGTAGTAGTAGTAGTAGTAGTAGTAGTAGTAGTAGTAGTAGAGTAGAGAGAGAGAGAGTAGTAGTAGTAGTAGTAGTAGTAGTAGAGAGTAGAGAGAGAGAGAGAGAGAGAGAGAGAGAGAGAGAGGGAATTGAGTAATATGTTCGAAATCTCTGTGTCGTCTTCGAAACTTTAAACATCTGTACCATGTTTTCTCAAAACTAAATATATTTTGGTTCTCTTAAGAAAGGGCACAAATATCTAATTATTTTGTGTTTGAATCAATGTGTTACCCTCAACTTTTACAAAAATGCCTACCTGTCATTTTCTTATTTATGGTTATGGTGACCTAAGTAAAAAGCCATCATCTCTCTCTTCATCTCTCTATATATCTCTCAAAATACAGATCCATGAGGTGACCTACTGATTCTAATTTGAATTAATAATCTTAATTGGGAGAATCAGTCAAAAATTGAAAATATGTTAATAAAATGAGATAATTGGTATCGAGGAGTGGGGACTTAAATCGCCTAGCTGCCAATTCCAATCCAAATCCAATTAGACAATTCTTAATCCAACTGGCTTTTTTTTTTTTAAACAATTGATGAGACTAATAAAACATAAATATATAGACAGAGATACAATAAATTATTACCTAAATAGTTAAAGAAAAACAAAAAAAGTCAAATCTTTGCAATGAGTCATGTCTAATTTGAGAAAAACAACAAAGCATGATGAGCTTATGGTGAATTACGAGTCGGACCTATCTCCGAAACGAGCAAGCTCCCCTTGCAATGATGTGGTGAGCAATTTTAAAAAGCTATTTCCACTTTTTATGTATAAACCACAATAATAATTCATTTTTTTAAAATAAAAAATTTAATATTGTATTTGAAAACCATGCCTTCTCTAAAATCCTAAATGAAAACCATGCATTCTCTAAAATCATGATTTTTGTTCGTACTAGAGATTTAAAAATCCTTTTTTTTTATTTAGAAATCGAGTTTTAAAATCCATCGATATGAATCATAATGGCCCGATCCAAACTGGGTTCCATGGGTTGGCTACATCTAGATCCATGAACATGTCAATGTTCTATTTACACCCTTTTATTTTGCGTAATCTGGAATAATTATATGTTTATTTTGCATTTTAATTACTTTTTATATATTTATAATATTAACCGATCCCAAATAATTAAGGTATTGCTCAGATGATCATTTTATCTCATCCTGGCTAATTAGGATCATCTATCCACCCAATCTGAACCCATACAGCCCGTGGCCGATCCGATTGTTAAAACACTGGTTCATGACCATCCTCTCGCGCCCCTCTCATGCTCAACAACGATGTCATTTTGTGTTAATGCAGGGTTAGCTTTCGTAATTTCAAATCAAATTAGTATAGGACCGACCACCTTCTCGTCAATTCTAGATAGAACAAGGGCAAATCTCGCCATTATTTTGCACCATTTTGTCCTTTTTGGAAAAGAATAGGGGTAAAGTAGTCACAAAATAATACTCTGACCTAACACATTGGGACCGGACCCACCAGTCAAAACTCAGAGCCCGCCGTTGGTTCCAAAAAGAGAGCGAAACGCCGGAGGTTATGGCAATCGGAAAAGCTAGGGTTTGAACAACTGCGCCCTGCTCTTTCCAGCGCCCTAGCTTCCTGATTTTTCCTCTCTCCAATTCGAAGAACACCAGGAGATTCACCAATTATCAAACGATTTCCCTTCCTGATCCCAGAAGCTCGCTCCATGCCCTTCATTATGAGCCTGGTATGGCCTTGTACGGTTCATTTTTGCTCAAAATTTTTGGCTCTTGATCAGTTCCTGTATTTTTCTGTTTATCTTGATGGATTATGGAATCTCTGTGTTTTTTTGGGTTGTTTTGAGGGGTTATACGTTGCACAAGTCACATTTTTGTTTGAATTGTGTTCGATTTTATCGTGTTGTTTCAGTGCTTTCCTTCTGATTGCAAAGGAATTAGTGAGATTTAAAAATTTTCATTTTTTGAATTTTTGGTGCACATAACGATTGTGTTTAGTTATTTTTATGGTATTTCATGATTTATTTTGATTTGTCTTCAACTTAATATTGGTGTGTTTTCCTGTGTCTCCCAGTTGGAAGTGGGTACAATAAACATAAAATCCTTTTCTGGAGCTTCGTTTATTCATAAATGTAATTTTGCAGGATGTAATCTGATATCATACCAGAAATTGTAGTCATTTGATGTTCTTTCACAAAAATACTCCATTCACCAGAGCAGAGTTTATGTTGTGATTTAGTCATTTGTTTCTTTTCCTCTGGATTGCTTTACTGTAATAAATTTACGGACCTTCGATCCCTTTTTGTGATATCTTTGATTTACTGAGCCACTGCTTTCTGAACATTGGAATTTATGATGAATTCTGCCCTTCTTTACGTTTTGTCTTTCTAAGAACAACTACTGTTATTGTTGTTCAAAAAATCATTCCCAACTACTATGTTAAGAAACATAATTGTTATAAAAGTGAAATTCTGTGTTTAGGTTACTGATCTTATGAATTTATGTGCATAACTAGAATTTTCAAGTGCTTTATTTTAAACTTTAATTGTTTAAATGTAAAATGTATAGGAGATTTAATAGTTGAGCATGCTTTGTGGTGTTCCTGGTCATTAAAAGGCTTTACTTCGAGGTTAAAATTGTTTTCTACAAATGTTTTTTTATGTAATTTGTTAAGAAATATTTTAGAGGTCTACTTTTCTTTTCTACTACCCACAACACTTTTGTGCTCCTGAGGCATTATTGATTCTGTACCTTATATGCTGCTCTTTAAGGTAAACACAACTAAAAGAACTTAGATCATGTAGTTATTTATTTTGGTGAGCTTTGCGAGGAAAATAAAAATTTCCATGTTCTTTATGTTTCTTTCGATGGTGTTGGTATAAACTATCCAGACTTTTAATATTTTCTCTTCATTTTGGTCCAGGTGCATTTTCGTGAGGCTGCAGATTGTTAAAGATAAAAGTTATGACTCCATAAGTGAATTCCTTTTTTATGGGGCTTTATATGCAAAGAAGCCCTTAAAGGTTGGAGTGATTCTTCTATTTTTTAGCCAGACTGCTAAAGCTTTGTATGTCTGCGTACTTATCCACTTCTCATTGATGCTTTCCCATTGGTTCAGCTGTAGAAGGATGTGAGGATTTGATACCATCCCTTTATATCATCTTGGGCATCTGTGCCCAGGTTCCAGGTTGTTATAAATAAAGTCGCCTTTTAGGATGCATACCTGATTCTGATTTTGCTGATATATAAATATCGTTGTCTCGGGTCCTCGTTGGACGGGATTTAAGTTATTTCTTTACTACAAAATTCCCTGACTTGGGTTCCGTCTGATGAGGTTTGTAAGGATTTGGGGATATTATATACCAGAAAATATTGATTCTGTAATTTGGGTAATTTGGTAATATTAAAACTGGTTTCATACTCTTTGATGTGGAGAAAATATAAAGAACAGATATTTGGAGGATGGATTCAAACTCACCTTTCAGGGATTCTACAAAATCGTGTAGTTGTAGTTCTTCACCAAACAGTTCCAATACACACTGGTGCCGCTCGGTGAAAAGAAAGCTCGAAGAGACTGAAGATGGGTCTAGAGTTGCTAATTATGCAAGCTCAAACTTCAGTCCCGAAAATTCATCAGTTGCTCGGATTGAAATTGAAAATGAACTTATTGCTTTGCGAGAGACAGTTAGCAGTCAGCAACAAACTATCCAAGAGCTCTACGAGGAGTTGGAGCAAGAGAGGAATGCCTGCTCTGTTGCAGCGGCGGAAACTATGTCTATGATTCTGAGGTTGCAAGGTGAAAAGGCTAAGGTTAGGTTGGAATTTGATCAGTATAAGAGGTTCGCCGAGGAGAGGATCGCCCATGATCAGCAGGAGTTGCAAGCCTTGGAGGATTTGTTGTACAAAAAAGACCAGGTGGTCCAATCCCTAAACTGTGAGATCCAAGCTTACAAGCACAGGATGCTAAGTTATGGATTTGAACCATCTGAGATTGAGGCTGCAAAAGTGGATGGAAGTTGCTTTCCTGGCCAGCGAGATGAGTTTTCTCCTTCGAGGCCCTATGGGCGCAATCGTAGCATGGCTGAAAAGTGGGAAACATATGAAACGTATGCGCCGGAAGAATCCAATCGGTTTGGATGCTTATCAGGAATTCCAAGTTTCTATGATTACCCTCCCTTGAGATGCAACCCAAATGAGACCCAAGGTCCTCAGGACCTTGATTATAATGATGTGAACTTTGATCTCGATAAATATGCTTCGGATGAAACACCTCGTACCAAAATATATCAATTGGAGAGGATTCCTAACACCTATTATGTGGATGGGGAGAGTGCGAGCACGAGGAATGTGCATGAGAAAGTGGTGATTGGAAATTCACCTAGGCGTTTGGGACATCTTAGAAGGGTTTCTACTGATAGCTCGAGCTCATTCAATGGATTGATTAAGGAGTCTGGTCCTGATTACATGCCTGAAAATGCTGGCATTTTAAGACAAAATGGTGGTTTTAGAAGGGAGGATCTTTTGAATTCGGAGGAGGGTCATTCGAGCTTCAGAAAGGTCGGTAATTCTTCAGATTTCGTTGATGATTCAAGTCCTCGAATATATACTATTGATTCGGGTACTCAGAGGAGTGCTGAAGGAAATGGAAAGGGTTTTCCGACTCTAGAGACCGATCAAATTGGGATACCTGATGATGGTGATCCTGAACCCAAATCATCATTGGGTATTTGTGATGACTATGCAGCCACTCCTAGAGGGCATTTGACCAGGATGGATACTGGGGAAACAGATATAAAGAAGCTCTACACAAGGCTTCAGGCTCTTGAGGCAGATAGAGAATCAATGCGGCAGGCCCTTATGTCAATGAGAACTGACAAAGCTCAATTGATATTGCTGAGAGAGATAGCGCAGCAGCTGTGTAAAGAAATCACTCCTGAGAACATGGTGTGTGCGAAGAAGCCTTCTCTTATGGGAAGCTTCTCGTTTATGTCTGTGTTGAAGGTAATTTCTGTTTTCAACATTCGGTAATTTCAGTTTCAGATATCCCGTGCTGTCTAATCGTACTACATTGCATGTCTCTATCCCTTTGATATGCCTATGTGTTCTTAGTAACTGCCTGATCTATATGTATGTCTCTCCTTGATGCTTGTGTTGTCTCTTGCCGTATGGGTTCACATGTGTACCATAACTTCTGAGCTGAAAAATATGAACTATGAGTCATCACCATCACAAATCATATTATTCATCTGTAGATTATGTACACTGCCAACTTTTTAAATTTTTATGCTCCTTACCATAAGGCTTGTAATCCTCTTAACTTTTAGAATAACCAATCTTCTTGTTATGGTAAATTAATCATTAATAATGTTAAAAACCTCGGCTTCGCACCTTGTCGAGGAGAACTCACTTGTCAAATTCAGGATTATTAAAAATTTCTTAAAAAGTTAACTTTTTTTAACTAAAATAAATGATGCAAAAACATATTTCTATATAATGTTTATGTTTTTTATGATGAATTGTGATTTTTTTTTATGATATGGCATTTGAGATTACAATTATAGAGAGTGGGGTATTCATCTTTTTCCCTAAAGAAAATAGCAACAAGCGAAAGAAGTAATAAACAACATTTAATTTATACAAAAAGTTTAAAGTGATTTATAGCTTGAAACAATTCTGAAAAATCCAAAGAAAGGGGAAAATAGAAGCCCACGGATCCTTCCAAGTGAAAAGAAAAAAAAGATGTTTAACCCCTTCCGTACCTTCTTCATTATCCAAATTACAATATTTATCCTTTTTCTTTCTTCTAATGACCCATCATCTAAATGTAATTTGGGATGCTATGTTTACACTACTTGTGAGGTTCGTGGGTGTGTGTGTGTGTGTGTGAGAGAGAGAGAGAGAGAGAGCGAGAGAGGAGGGGGGGAAGGAAGGGGTCCACAGGTGATGAAGCGAGAGACAGAGAGAGAACTAGGGTAGCTATTCTTGGGGTTGGATGATGGGGTGACTAAAAAAAGAAAATGGGCAACTATTGTGATTTAGACAGTGAAAAAGGTAAGGAGTGGGTTCAACGTCATTTTCTTTTCACTTGGAGGGGATCCATGGGCTTCCATGGACCTGAGGGTTTATTTGAGATTATAAACAGAAGGGGGATGTCTTTTTTGCTTTCCTTTTTTTAAAAAAAATTATTTATTTATTTTGCATCTTTCAGCCCTTTGTTGGGCTCGTGCACAACTCAGGCGAGTCCACTTAGCTTGAGCAGGGGTTGAGTCTCGAGCCTGAGGCGAGTTTCATGAATGATGATATAGAAAATTGGCAACATAATTACTATAAACTTTCTAAGAAGTGGAACAACTTCCAGAATCCATGGCTGCTTCTGTACGACTTTTAGAACCCTTAGTAGCTTTAGCTTTACAGGAACATAAGCTTTCAAATTCAGTGATTCTATTAATTTAGTCCTTAAGTGGTAAGTGCATCTTTTCCATATTCGTCATGTGATTTTTCCATATTCAAATTTCATTACATGGTTGTTTTAATCTAGAATTACTATTATGCATTTGCATTAATTATTTTATGTTCCTGCTATGTTTAATGTTTGGGATCTTAGGTTTCTTTCTTCTCCTCTTTCATCAAATACCCTTGAGAACACATCAGAACTTAAATTTTCATTATTCTTATTCCGCACATCTTAGTTCGACCAACAATCCATTCCTATACAATAATCATACTGTAGCGGGTATAGTTTAGTGGTAAAAGTGTGATTTGTTCTGTTACCAAACAAAAAAGTTAAGGGTCCCTCGGTTTGATTCCAATTCCGATCAAAAACTTTATTTCTTAAAAGAATTGAATCCTTTCCTGTAAATGTCACTATTGAGGACAGACTATACATTCTCGTGATTTGTATCCAAAGGGAAATCTCTCTCTCTCTCTCTCTCTCTCTATATATATATATATATATATATATATATATATATATATAATAAATTAAATTAGTTAGTATTCGTAGTAGTAGTACGTATATATTTGTTTTAGTTTTAGTTTAGTAGTAGTTACGTTCCGTTACCTTAC